CTCCTCTAGTCAAAGAATGGGCTCCTGAAGCATTTGTTATTTCCTTTAAGTTGGAAACTGATCCCTCCATCTTAATTGATAAATCACGGAAGGCTCTGGAGACATATCGTCATCAGGTGGTGATAGCAAATGTCCTTGATTCACGGAGAACGTCTGTTCTTCTTGTAACCAAAGACTCGGAAACTAAATTATCACTTTCTAATGAAGAAATAGCACAAGGCATGGAAATAGAGGAGAAGATAGTGAGCCATCTTCAGTCTCAACACACTGCATTTATAGATAAACAACACTCTGAAAGGAAAGGACCAGCTTGTTCCAGCTCTGAATGATCAGAAACAAATTGAACTTTGTGAGGGTGTGAGTGGAACTGGAGGAAATCTCATTGCAGTAAATGGAGGAAAACACTATCTGAGGCATTGTGTATGAGGTAAAAAGTGTGAACATCCAACATAGACTTCATACATGACTTCATAAGTTATTTGCTGCTTATGTAAAAAAACAAAACAAAACACTGAAATGAAAACATTCCCCTAAGGATGGTATTGTGCGAGTTTGTAGAGAGGAGAGGGATGTGTTTCCCTAATCCTCTCCTTGTGTGGGGGTGGGGAAGCAAGGGTTAGATGTGTGCATGTTACAGTTTCTGCTTCTTCAAAACTCCATGTAGCAGCCCCTTTTGAAATCCCAGAAGAGTGGGCAGAGGTCACCAGAACAAAATTCCTCCCCCCACCCTCTTAAATGGGAGAGGGGTCACAGAGACAGGGGACAACAAATGATTAAACAGGAAGGTGGGGATTCAATCAAAGATGTAAAATGGGAACCATATGGGGACACTGAGATATGGACAGTACCCATAGCGTCACAAAGGAGGTGAAGAAGTCAGAGGAACTCTTTCCGGATGTGAGACAGTGACGGAACAGAAGTAGTGCCTGCAATTGCAGTGAACCTCCCTGTCAAGCTACTTTCTGGTTTGGTAAATGACCATTTTGGCCAGTAACAGAAGGAGGTTGATGAGGAGGTCTTGTGATTTTATGGAGCCACAGAGAGGAAGTCCATAGAGGAGTAGATGTTGAGGGAAAGTACAGCTAGAACCTCGTCAGAAGGTTCTGGAGGATGTGAAAGGGAGCTGTTACCTGGCACAATGGAGGTAGGCATGTGCCCAGGTCTCCCTGTCTGAAGAAGGGGCAGGCAACAGGGATGTCCATGAACCACGTCTGTGCTCACAGCTGCCAACTAATATCCCTGGTGGGCGAAGGGACCAAGGTGGAATAAAAGCTGGCTAATAGGTTCGTCACCCTTGCAAAATGGTATAATCTTCTGCCATGTGGTGCCAGTACGTGACACAAGGTCAAGGAAATGCATGCTGTGGAGCATGTAGAGAGTGCCACCAATCAGAGCCATCCCACAGGCATCATACCTGCTGCGAGGACTCACTCACCCCTTACTTTAAATTCTGCTTTCATGTACTGTATTGCTATGTTCACACTGAAACACATTCCTTAATTACTGTTCTAACATACTGGGAGGAGAGGTGGTAACTGCAGTTAGCTGTACCTCTGTGGGCAACATGGAAGTTAATTTAAATTATGTTGAAACAGACTCACTGGTGAGTTTTTTTTTTTTTTTTTTTTTAAGGAAAATCGAATGTGACCCTGAGGTTGAGAGTTCAACTACTAATAGACAAATTCAAAATTCCTCAAGGTGGCCTCTGCTCTTTCCAAGACCATCAAAAATTCCTGGAAGCAGTGGCTTTTGCATATCACACTCAACTGGCAGGAGACTGAACAGTCAAGGAGTGCTTATACTGGGAGGGAAATGAACCTGAAGAGAGTGAGACAGGGGAGGTGGTGAAAACAGGACAAGGTCAATCAATATGAAGGGTAGCATGGGATTGGTGGAGAGAGTAGATGAAGAAAGCAGATGAGAGTGCCTCAGTTTCAGTGATTTGGTGGGGGGCCCTGACTCATCTTGTCAATCCTTTTCAGAAAAGTCATGTGTGATTCATAGGAGTTTAAGGAGGGAGTCCAAATGATAGTTTTTTGGTATGGGTTTGGGAGTCAGAATGGAGAAGAAGTGCTGCTTGGCCAGCAAGTCGGTAGAATCAAATGAGGTGACAACAAATGTGCAGTGGAGGAACTTAACAGGATCATGGGACTTGCACCAGAAACGCTCAGCAGCATGGGAGGGAGTGGAGGAAGCAGCTGTTGGGGTGGGCCAGGATTGGGGTTGTAGGGATGAACCACGTGGTAGGAGAGTGCTGAGTAGAAGGAGTTGTCAGCAGAGTTGAGAAGAGGGGTTGAGAAGTCTTGAATGTCGATGAATTGGAAATCACAGAAGGAGCAAATGCCAGGATGGGGTGAAGGAGATACATGAACATTGTTAAAGGAGATGAGGTGGAGATTGGAGAGGGGGAACTTGATGGCGAGACCAGAGAGTGAGTGGCTGTTTTGATGAGTAGGAGTGTTGATCCATGGCTCAGCATTGTTAGAGGTTATGGGGTTGGAAGGAACAGCAGGTTCTCAAAGATGGGAAATTGTAATAAGAGAAGAGTGGGGAGTTTGAATTGAAGAGGAAGTAGGATGGGGAAGATTTGAGGAGAATGGGGGCAGTAAAAAACAACATGGAGAAGAAGATAGAAGAAAGCAGTTTCTTTTGAGGGAAGTAAAGACGGAGAGTGGGGACGGGCTGTTGGAAGCAACAGGACTGGGAGAGAAGCTTTGAGGATGATGGGTGTGGGGAAGTGTGGGAGAAAGAGAGGCCACCACAGGATAGAGCAGCAGTGCAGGCAATGATGGTAGAGGAAATACAGGTCGCAATGGGAGCAAAAAGAACAGTGAAGAGGTCATGCATGGTGGTGGGAGAAGGGAAGGGATAATGGGAGAGCCTGGGTTGGAGGAAACATCAAAGGAGAGAGGAGGAGGTGGGCATAGGCCTGTGGGAAGATAGAGCATAAGAGGAGTGGGGAAGTAGAGAGAAAATTAGAGCTGGTGGGCAAGGAGGAAATGAAAGTGAGAAATGAGAATATGGGGTGGGGAAGGGGAAGGGAGGCAGAGATGAAGCAGCAAACGAGGAATGAGCCTGGAGGTTAGGCAGAAGAATGACAGGAATATGGATGACAAAGAGCAATTAGGAGACAAGTCACAAGGGCAGATATATCTTAATGCAGGTGTCATAGAAATTCCTGTCCGTTCCAGCTGAGGAATAAGGAGAGACAGACACAGCTAATTAAGCAAGGAGCCCTGGGAGGGGCGATCCGTTTATTTCAATTGCAATTGGGTTCGAGCTCATAAGTCAGCAAGAACAAAGAAAACACTTACACCAAAGCATTATATGCAGTTGACTATGATAATCTATCGCTCTATGATTGGCCAAAATTTGCTATCATTACCATATATAATTAGCAAGCTACATGTATCTGCCCCTCTTATGACCCTTTATTGTTCATCTACTTGCTCCCCCTTGCGTTATTTTGCAAACTAAGCAGTTAGTTATCTACAGGACGTAGGCACAGAAAGTTCCATTGTCTCCAAGTTTGGAGTTTGGCTACATTTCCTCTCGAAGGAACTTCCTAAGTTAAGACATAGCTTAGCTGTGCTGTATATCTTCCATGTGTACGTGACAAATTTGCCCCCTGGCAGTTAAGTAGAATAATTTTATATCACAGGTAATTTTTAAAATCTTTTTGACTGCTCTGCCTATTGCTGAGGTTGCTATTTATTATAGTAATACCAAGGGACCAGCCAAGAATGGAGACCCATTGTGCTGGGCACTATGCAGATAGCCCCTGCCCTGGAGAACGTCGTCTAAATAGACAAAACAGACAACGGGCAGGAGAAAAAGGTAGACCAGACAGGCGGAGTACACGATGTGACAGCCTGGAAACGTCATCAGCCTTTCTTGGGCAGGCGTCAACTGGGGAGAGGGCTCTGTGGAATGAAGCAGAGTTCTTTGTGACCAACCATTCCCCCCAAATCAGATGCTGCCTGTTTGATCTGGTTGAGGAAGGCTATTTCCCTCTACTTAGTGGACCCTGGGCATGAAACCAAAGGCAGAAACATATTTAGACCTTTGTCCAAAACAAATCCATACAAGCTAACTCTTCAGAACCAGCCCTGGGTTTTGGCAGGTGTCTTGAATCTGCGAAGGGCCAAAATTTTCCCATTGACTTCAATGGTCATAGAATTAGGACCCTACACATAAGGTATAATGTGCAGAAGTATTTGAATCCGAGAGCATAGGTGTAAGTTGGGAAACTGTAAAAAATACTATAATTCTGCAAGGCCGGCCACAAAGAGATGCCAATCTGCTTTGAAATCTGATGTAACAGAATGTAAAAAACAATAGTGAGGATGGGAGGCAGGATGAGGGTGACACTGAGACCGTGGGGCTACCATAGCTGCTGGAAGTTGGAACTAGGAGTATTGGGGTGCTGCTGCACCCCCTGGCTTGAGGTGGTTTCCATCATAGCCAGCATTTACAGTTTGGTTCAATGGTTCTCCGCAGCCCACTATACAAATTGTTCCAGCACCCCGGGGGCGACAGCTGTTAGCTACGTGTACAGCTTGATTGTTTCAAATTATATGATTTAAAAAATAAGTTAGTGTCTTCCTATGAACGTAGCACAATGGGACCCAATCCTGGCTGGGGCCTCTGGGTGTTATTCCTGCAAGGGAAACGCCCTATTCCTGTGTTGGCAGAGACGGGGTATGGTGGGTGTCCCTGGGGCGCTGCATGACCCTCGGGGGGACTGGGACGGGGGAGCGCACTGGGAGTGGAGCTATAGCTGGGGCTGGGGCCCCGGCAGGGAAGGCGCGTAACTGAGGCAACGGGGTGGACGGTTCCAAGAGCAGGCTGATTGTGGCAGACTAGAGGCGGGGCGACCCCGCAGCGTGAGAATGGTTCGTTCCGTTGCCGTGACTCCCGCCGCTCAGACGCAAAACTTCCCGTCTGCCTCAGAAAAGAAGGTCCCGTTGCTATGACTCCCGTAGCCCCGCCCCCCCGCTGTCCCTAGCGCCGCTCCCGGGGCCCAAGCGGCCCCGGCTGCCTCCCGCCCCCGCCGCATGGAGGAGCCCGCGCGGGTGAGTGACCGCGACTGGCCCCGGCCGCCAAGAGCCCTCAGCCCGGACCGGGGGGCCGCTCCCGCCGCTGCTCGGGGCCCCTCCGCGGCGCGGGCCTCAGGCCTTTCCCCCGTGGGAGCCCAGCTAACGGGGAGCGCTCGGGCCGCGTCCGCGGGCCCCCCTGCGCCCGGCATCGCGCTGCACCCGGGACCCCTGGAGCCCCGCGGCCCCGGCATCGCGCTGCACCCGGGCCACCGTGCCCCTGGCATCGGCTGCTCCCCGCCCCTGGCATCGCCCTGCACACGCACACACCCTGCCCCCACGTCTCGCTGCAGCCCGCCCTGGGTTCCCTGCAGGCTCCAGGGTTCCCAGAGCTGTGGGCTCTTCCAGCCCCTGTTGCAGGGGGGCCCGGCCCCCAGGCAATCAGTCTTACAGACTTGCCAAGCTCTGTGTTGGTCCACAGTGTCTCTCTCACCAGCAGAAGTTGGTCCAGTACAAGGTATTACCTCACCCACCTTGTCTTGCAGATAACTTTGTTGTCAGCGGGTTCAGCCCTGCGCTGGCGCTGCCCCTTGGCATTGTTCCAACCCTGGTGCTGAGTGTCTCCGATCTTCAGCTCTCCACTCCCTGTTCGCTCCAGGTTTTAATATGTTTCACTACTCCCCTCAGGGTTACTAAATTACCATACCATGCATTTAACCGGGGACAGCTGTTGTCACATGTGGACTAGACTGTCCTTGTTCGTGCTAAGGGCAAAATCGTGTCTGAAGTTGGGCTAGATAGGAAATGTCTCATTTAAAACGTTTTCTAGCAGGATGGGTTTTTCCAGTCTAGACAAAGCCCATGTGGGCCTTCGCTGAAGCGGGCAAGCTGGCTGCAGCAGCTCAACCTGGAGAAGGTACGCTGAGCGAAACACATGGAGGTGATTTATATCAGCCCCATTTAACAAGGGACTGTGACCCCAGTGTATTGCTCGAGTACATTTTGAACAACTGCCCAATTTTTTATGTAGAGCTGTCTCTAGCAAATAGGTATAGGTATTTGCTAGGTGAGGCATAGGTATAAGTTAATAAGTAGTGCAGGAAGCCTGCAGTCTTCAAAGACTCTAAGGGTATGTCTACACTATGAAATTAGGTCGAATTTATAGAAGTCAATTTTTAGGAAGCGATTTTATACAGTCCATTGTGTGTGTCCCCACTAAGCACATTAAGTCGGCGGAGTGCGTCCACAGTACCGTGGCTAGCGTCAACTTTCGGAGCGTTGCACTGTGGGTAGCTATCCCACAGTTCCCGCAGTCTCCGCTGCCCATTGGAATTCTGGGTTGAGCTCCCAATACCTGATGGGGCAAAAACATTGTCGCGCGTGTTTTTGGGTACATGTCGTCAGTCGCCCGTCCCTCTGTGAAAGCAACGGCAAACAATCGTTTCGCGCCTTTTTTCCGTGCAGCAGCCGGTGCAGTAGGACTGCTAACCGTCGTCATCCAACCACTGCTTCCGCTGCAACTCTGCTCTCCTGGTGCCATGAATCCACCTCGCAGGTCCTCTCGTCATTCTTTATAAATATCTCTTCTCGTGGCATCCCATCGTCATCCATCACTTCCGCTGCAACTCTGCTCTCCAGCTCGTGTCTCGATAGCGAATTTCTCCATATTGTCTGTCATGGGCTCCCAGGAACGTGTGCGCAGTGCTAACTGTTGTCCTCCACCGCTTCCACTGCAACTCTGATCTCCTGCAGACGCCATACCACCGCAAGCATGGAGCCCCCTCAGCTCACCGCCACTGTTGTGAGCATTGTAAACACCTCACACATTATCCTGCAGTGTGTGCAGAACGTGCAGAAGCAGGCGAGGAGGCGACGACAGCGTGATCACGATAGTGATGAGGACATGGAGGCAACTTGGACATCATGGTGGTAATGGGGCAGGTTCATGCCGTGGAACGCCGATTCTGGGCCCGGGAAACAAGCACAGACTGGTGGGACTGCTCAGTGTTGCAGGTCTGGGATGATTCCCAGGGGCTGCAAAACTTTCGCATGCGTAAGGGCACTTTCATGGAACTTTGTGACTTGCTTTCCCCTGCCCTGAAGCGCAAGAATATCAAGATGAGAGCAGCCCTCACAGTTCACAAGCGAGTGGCGATAGCCCTCTGGAAGCTTGCAACGCCAGACAGCTACCGGTCAGTTGGGAATCAATTTGGAGTGGGTAAATCTACTGAGGGGGCTGCTGTGATCCAAGTAGCCAACGCAATCACTGAGCTGCTGCTATCAAGGGTAGTGACTCTGGGAAATGTGCAGGTCATAGTGAATGGCTTTGCTGCAATAGGATTCCTTAACTGGGTGGGGCGATAGATGGAACGCATATCCCTATCTTGGGACCGGACCACCTTGGCAGCCAGTACATAAACCGCAAGGGGTACTTTTCAGTGGAGCTGCAAGCACTGGTGGATCACAAGGGACGTTTCACCAACATCAATGTGGGATGGCCGGGAAAGGTAGATGACGCTCGCATCTTCAGGAACTCTGGTCTGTTTGACCAGCTGCAGGAAGGGACTTACTTCCCAGACCAGAAAATAACTGTTGGGGACGTTGAAATGCCTATAGTTATCCTTGGGGACCCAGCCTACCCCTTAATGGCATGGCTCATGAAGCCGTACACAGGCACCCTGGACAGTAGTCAGGAGCTGTTCAACTATAGGCTGAGCAAGTGCCGAATGGTGGTAGAATGTACATTTGGACGTTTAAAAGCACGCTGGCGCAGTTTACTGACTTGGCTAGATCTCAGCAAAACCAATATTCCAATTGTTATTGCTACTTGCTGTGTGCTCCACAATAGCTGTGAGAGTAAGGGGGAGATGTTTATGGCGGGGCGGGAGGTTGAGGCAAATCGCCTGGCCGCTGATTACGCGCAGCCGGATACCAGAGCGATTAGAAGAGCACAGCCGGGTGCGCTGCGCATCAGAGAAGCTTTGAAAACCAGTTTCATGACTGGCCAGGCTACGGTATGACAGTTCTGTTTGTTTCTCCTTGATGAAAATCCACCCCCTTGGTTCACTCTACTTCCCTGTAAGCCAAACTCCATCCCCCCTTTGATAACCGCTTGCAGCGGCAATAAAGTCATTATTGTTTCAAAATCATGCATTCTTTATTAATTCATCACACAAATAAGGGGATAACTGCCAAGGTAGCCCGGGAGGGGTGGGGGAGGAGGGAAACACCGGGTGGGGTTGTGGATGAGGGGAGGAGGGAAGGACAAGGCCACACTGCACTTCAAAATGTATTGAATGCCAGCTTTCTGTTGCTTGGGCAGTCCTCTGGGATGGAGTGGTTGGGTGCCCGGAGGCGCCCCCCCCCTCCCCCGCGTTCTTGGGCGTCTGGGTGAGGAGGTTATGGAACTTGTGGAGGAGGGCAGGCGGTTACACAGGGGCAGCAGCGGTGGTTTGTGCTCCTGCTGCCTTTCCTGCAGCTCCACCAGACGCCGGAGCATATCAGTTTGATCCCCCAGTAGCCTCAGCATTGCATCCTGCCTCCGCTCATTGCGCTGCCACCATCTCTCTTCTTGCTCCCACCAGCTCTCATCTCATTCGTCCCTTCTGTCCTCGCTTTCATTTTCTGCCCTCCTGGACTCTGACATTATTTGCCTCCACGCATTCTGCTGAGCTCTTCCAGTGCGGGAGGACTGCATGAGCTCAGAGAACATTTCATCACGAATGCGGTTTTTTTGCCTTCTTATCTGCGCTAGTCTCTGGGACGGAGATGATAGGGATAGCGTTGAAATATTTGCAGCTGCGGGAGGAAAAAAAGGGAGAGTAGTATTTAAAAAGACACATTTTAGAGAACAGTGGGTAGACTCTTTCACGGTGAACCAAGCTGTTAACATTACATAGCACGTGCTTTCAGTACAAGGTCGCATTTTGCCTCTTATATTGAGGGCCTGCCGGTCTGGTGTGTGAGATCACATACGCAGGGCCGGGCAACAGAATTCAGCTTGCAGGCAGCCATGGTAAGCCACAGTCTTTCAGCTTCTTCAACCTTCAAAACATGTGGGAATGGTTTCAAACAGCAGCGGCCTCCTTTCCCATACGAAGCACCCGTTGCGTTGGCCATTTAAAAGGAGGGGCTATACTGGCCGCGAATGCATCCCAACTCTTCAGGGCAAATTAATAATTAAACATGCTTGCTTTTAAACCATGCATTATACTTACAAAGGTACACTTACCAGAGGTGCCTTCTCCGGCATCATGGTCCGTGAGCCCGTGTTGGGAGGGTATTGGCTCTAGGGTGATAAACAGTTCCTGGCTGTTGGGGAGAATGGTTTCTCCGCTTGCATGCTGTGCACTATCCTCATCCTCCTCCACCTCCTCATTTTCCTTGTCCCCAAAATCCACATCCTTGTCGCATGAGACTCCCCCCTTGCAGGTGTCCATGGACAGAGGTGGGGTAGTGGTAGGGGCGCCCCCTAAAATTTCATGCAGCTCATCATAGAAGCGACATGTCTGGGGCTCTGACCCGGAGCGGCCGTTTGCCTCTTCGGTTTTTTGGTAGGCTTGCCTGAGTGTCTTAATTTTCATGTGGCACTGCTGCGGGTCCCTGTTTTAGCCTCTGTCCATCATGCCCTTGCAGATTTTTTTCAAATATTTTGGCATTTCGTCTTTTGGAACGGAGTTCTGATAGCACGGATTCGTCTCCCCAAACAGCGATCAGATCCAGTACCTCCTGATCGGTACATGCTGGAGCTCTTTTGCGATTCTGGGACTGTATGGTCACCTGTGCTGATCAGCTCTGCATGGTCACCTGTGCTGATCAGCTTTCCACGCTGGCCAAACAGGAAATGAAATTCAAAAGTTCCCGGGGCTTTTGCTGTGTACCTGGCTAGTACATCTGAGTTGAGAGTGCTGTCCAGAGCGGTCACAATGGAGCACTCTGGGATAGCTCCCGGTGGCCAATACTGTCGAATTGCATCCACACTACCCCAAATTTGACCCAGCAGGGTCGATTTTAGCGCTAATCCCCTCATCAGGGAGGAGTACAGAAATCAATTTTAAGAGCCCTTTAAGTTGACAAAAATGGCTTCGTTGTGTGGACGGGTGCAGGGTTAAATCGATCTAACGCTGCTAAATTCAACCTAAACTCGTAGTGTAGACCAGGGCTAAAACAGTAGCTTAGCCAGATTGAAGTATAAGCCCAAAAGCCTTAGGCCTGGGCTACACTAGCGGGGGTGGGGTTCGAACTAAGATACGCAACTTCAGCTACGCGAATTGAAGTCGAAGTATCTTAGTTCGACTTACCTGGCCGTCCTCACGGCGGCGAGTCGACTGCCGCGGCTCCCCCGTTGACTCCACTTACTCCTCCTGCCGAGGTGGAGTACGGGGGTCGATTAGCGGATCGATACATTGAACACTACCTGCCGATCCGACGGATAGTATAGACGTACCCTTAGCATAAGTCTTAGCATAAGCAGCTAACCAGGAGTAACCCTGGATCATAAGATATCATAAGATATCATGAGATAGAATGTTGTAATAAACAAGTATGATTAAACTGATAGGTAACTGCTGGATGCCAGTTGATTCTAGTTTTGGATATTTTAAGATAGGAACATCACCAGCAGATGTTCAACCACAAGAATGCAATGGCAACCAATTGATATATATACTAATAAGCTTGAGGTAAATGGCATAATAACGTATCAGAGGAGGGCACCCTCAACATTATTAGGGTGAGGAAGTTTAGATATGGAGAGAGGATGCCAGACATCTTTATGAATATTCATGGCTGCCATGTAACCCTATAATTTCAGCCTACCCTCTTGGGATCTTCTTGGCATGCCAGAGATAGGACCACTCATCTAATTGATCATAGATATCCGCAAGAGATGGTGTACAAATGCCATGCTGCAGGAAGTCTTGACCATTCTGTATTATCTCTACCCATTTTGCTTTGGAGTGTTTGTGATTTGCTAATTGTCTTAATAAAAACATTACAATCAAGAGGCCTTTCCTAAGTGTGAATGTCTTTCACATGAGCATCAGGGTCCTCATAGTAACTCTGGGTCTGATCTTGAAGCAGGACCCTTCCAAACACAGAATGCTAACTTAATCAGGATACTGATTAACATACAATCAATAGATCAGGAAACACCTGTCTTTCTTTAAAATTTCCAAAATTGGTTAGCTGGGAGCTGCTATCAGCCGTTATTAAGTGATTGCAGAAATCCTTGAGTTTTGGAATAGAATCCAAACAAGTGTATAGTATGTGAGTCTGGTAATCTCTATGGTATATTTTTGAATCGCTTCCCATAACGGGACATAAGGGCAAGGATCCTCATATCCCAAATCTCTCTCATCAGACAAGAGTAATCAAATTTGATATGATTAAATGCCTTTGGGAGTCATATGCTTCCATCACATTAGTTTTATTTGTTTTCTGCACTGCCATTAAGTGCACATTAATTACAACTTAACTTTTACTGGTTCAGAAATATTATGCCCACACAAATCTTTCCCAGGAGGAAATGTTTTAGATCAGGGGTGGCCAACCTGTGGCTCCGGAGCCACATGCGGATCTTCAGAAGTTAATATGCGGCTCCTTGTATAGGCACTGACTCCGGGGCTGGAGCTACAGGCGCCAACTTTCCAATGTGCCGGGGGGTGCTCTCTGCTCAATCCCTGGCTCTGCCACAGGCCCTGCCCCCACTCCACCCCTTCCCGCCCCCTCCTGAGCCTGCCGTGCCCTCGCTCCTCCCCCCTCCCCTCCAGAGCCTCCTGCACGCCACAAAACAACTGCTCGGGAAGGGGAAGGCACTGATCGGTGGGGCTGCCGGTGGGTGGGAGGCACTGGGAGTGGGGGTGGGGGAGCTGATGGGGGGGCTGCTGATGTATTACTGTGGCTCTTTGCCAATGCTCATTGGTAAATTCTGGCTCCTGTTGGCCACCCCTGTTTTAGATGACGTAGGTTAAGTTTTGATGATTTATTCTGACAGGAAAAAGTACAGGTGGAAGACATACTTGAGAGGCTCAAGGAAGAAGGAATCGACCCTTCAGCTTCTGCAGATGAGCAACTTTGTTATGTTTGGCAATTATTCCTGTGTAATGAAGACAAGTTACGGTCTGCTAGTCAGGACTTAGAGAACCTTAGACAACAGCAAGCAGAAGAAATGAGAGAGGTAAGAACTAATTGACATTCGAGTAATCTTCATAAATATTTGTGCTTTCCATTAGGATTTCACTTTTAACCAGTTACTGATCCAGGAGAGGACCTTCCCTCTTATCCCATGACTGCTTACTTTGCTTAAGAGCTTTTGGTGAGGGACCTTGTCAAAAGTTTTCTAAAAGGCCACATACACTATATCCACTGGATCACCCTTGTCCACGTGTTTGTTGACACCCTCAAAGAATTCTAATAGAGTGGTGAGGCATGATTTCCCTTTACAAAAGCCATGCTGACTCTTCCCCCAACAAATCATGTTCAGCTATGTGTCTGATAATTCTGTTCTTTACTATTGTTTCAACCAATTTGTCTGGTACTGAAGTTAGGCTTACTTGCCTGTAACACTGCTCTACAGCCAAAATGCTTCTGAAATAAATGTAGTCAAACTTTACTAATTCTGGGTCACTGAGAATGAAAATGATGCTTAAAATTGTTGATTGGCTCTAGTTTTCAAGATATGCTATTGGGTCAGTATATACGACCCTTGACTTGGGAATGGCGGAGGATAAGTGAGTTATAAAGGGAAGGGATCTCAATTTAAACCAGAAATGACTAAAATACATCTTTGACTGGATCTATGAATAAAACTATGACTGGGTTTGGACAGTACTTGCTTTTTAGGCAAAACAATGAATGATGCAATCTGAAGCTGGTATTGCGTCATACATGATATGAATTGCATCATGTTATTCCTAGAAGTCATGGATGATGCAATCATAACGAAGCTTACATCACTCTGCTGAACAAATTGCCCTATATCAGCTCTAGAAATCATACAGTGTCGTGCTCTCTTATTTGTCAGTGTTTGATTTTGCAAAGGGACACATTTCTGTTTAGCCAAAGTGAGCAGAGATGCCTCGTACTTGTGTGAACAGTGCAGATAACTTCTGCTATGTTTGCGGTGAAGTGACTTTTGCATCACAAAAGCGCAGTATAACCACTATGGTTAAGAAAGCCTATCACCTTTATTTTGGCTGCAAAATTGGAGATCAGGACAAGAGGTGGGCCCCACACATATGCTGCAACACTTGTGCAACAAATCTTCACCAGTGGTTGAACAGGAAAAGGAAATCTATGCCTTTTGCATTGCCAATGATTTGGAGAGAGCCAACAGATCATACCAGCAATTGTTACTTCTGCATGGTGCCTCCAGTTGGGAAAGGTGTGTCAAAGAAGAAAAAGTGGACTGTGCATTATCCAGGTTTCCTTCATATGGACTGCATGACCAACTGGAATTGATGGCAAAACATTGCCATTATGCAGTAAAACAGCTTTAAGACTCGTCTTCGATGAATCAATGAACCCCCAGTACCTCACGGAGAAGGACTGCCGGTTCCTGATGCACCAGAATCATTCTCACTTGAGTCAGACGAGGAAGAGGAAGAGGATGAAACTTCTGGTCCTGAACCATCAATGTCACAGGACCCACATTTTCTCCCATCCTCCTCCTCTGAACCACACCTCATAACACAAGGTGAACTGAATGACCTTGTCAGGGATTTGGAACTACCCAAGAGTAAGGCAGAGCTGTTGGGCTCCAGACTACAGCAGTGGAATCTCCTGGCAGGTGATGTTAGGGTTTCCATGTTCCGTGACCGTCAAAAGGATCTTGTCCCATTCTTCTTCATGGAAGGTGATCTTGTAGCCTGCAACAACATCGATGGTGTGATGGCAGCCCTCAACATCGTTCACGATCCAGATGAGTGGAGACTGTTCATTGATTCATCGAAGACGAGTCTTAAAGCTGTTTTACTGCATAATGGCAATGTTTTGCCATCAATTCCAGTTGGTCATGCAGTCCATATGAAGGAAACCTATGACAACATGAAACAACTTTTGAGGTGCATAAACTATGACCAACATCAGTGGCAGCTTTGTGGCGATTTGAAGGTTGTTGCTCTCTTGCTTGGTCTGCAGACTGGATACACAAAGTACTGCTGTTTTCTCTGCGAATGGGATAGTCGTGCAAGAGATTCCCACTACATCAAGAAAGATTGGCCACTCCGACAGTCATTGGAGCCTGGGAGGAAAAGTGTTCAGCATCCACCACTTGTTGAATCAAGGAAGATTTTGTTACCACCCTTACACATCAAGCTGGGTCTGATGAAGAACTTTGTCAAGGCCATTGACAAAACACAAGCAGCTTTCAAGTACCTCCGTGGAAAATTTCCAAGGTTAAGTGAAGCTAAGATAAAGGAAGGTGTCTTTGTTGGTCCTCAGATTCGTGAACTTCTTCGAGATGATGCATTTGACCATGCACTGCGTGGCAAGGAAAAGACGGCATGGAAAGCCTTCCAGTTAGTGGCAATAAATTTTTTCGGAAACAACAAGGCAGACAACTACAGGTTGTTGGTGGCAGGGCCGGCTCTGGCTTCTTTGCTGCCCCAGGCAAAAAAGCCTCCCGCCGCCCCCCCGCAGGGGAGGGCGGCGAGCCCCGCCGGGGCTCCGCTTTCCCTGGCGGCCAGAGGCAGTGCCGGGGGGAGGGCGGAGAGCCCCGCCGGGGCAGCGCCGGGGGGAGGGCGGCGAGCCCGGCCGGGGCTCCGCTCTCCCCGGCGGCCAGAGGCAGCACCGGGGGGAGGGCGGGGAGCCCGGTCGCGGCCCCGCTCTCGGGCCGGAGCGCCGCGCCGCCCCGCCCCCCTCCAGGTGCCGCCCCAAGCACCAGCTTGGTGGGCTGGTGCCTGGAGCCGGCCCTGGTTGGTGGAAAACCTCCTCAAGGCATACAAAAGCCTTGATTGCAACATGTCACTAAAGATACATTTTTTGCACTCTCATCTAGATTTTTTTCCACCGAACTGCGGAGCAGTGAGCGACGAGCACGGCGAGCGATTTCACCAGGACATTGCAACAATGGAGAAACGCTATCAGGGCAAATGGAGCCCATCAATGCTTGCAGACTATTGCTGGACAGTGACAAGAGATACTCCATTTAATGAATACAAGAGACAAGCCAAGAAGCGCCGAGTAGACACTGAATAGGACTAAACTATGTACATAATAGTTTTTTGCCTTTTGTTTCATAATAAATTTTATTTAGATAACCCTTTTGCTGATTTTTAAAGTGTTACATAAACAGGACAGGTGAAATATTATCATGTAAAGCAACCATAAACACATGAAAAGACCTAAGTTTACAATTTATGATTAAAACTCTACTATCTACACAATATACATAGACATAAAATGTAAAAACTTAAATATCTTAGAAACAGTAGCCAATCAGTTGTTTTAATTGTCATATTTGAATTCAGCACATCAAAATACATAATAAATAGCACAATTTATCTCTGAAGCAGACGACTTCTCAAAAATTGTAGACCAGTGTAATTTGCCAGGATCGCCTCTGGAGCCTTTTTTAAAAATTGGTGTTTACATTAGCTGTCATCCAGTCTTCTGTTGTAGAAGCTGATTTAAATGATAGGTTACATACTATACTTACTAGTTCTGCAATTTCATATTTGAGTTCCTTCAGAACTCTTGGGTGAATACCATCAAGTCTTGGTGACTCAGTACTATTTAATTTATCAGTTCGTTACAAAATCTCTATCAACACCTCAGTCTGAGACAGTTCCTCAGATTTGTCACCCAGAAAGAATGTCTCAGGTGTGCGAATCTCCCTCACATCCTCTGCAGTAAAGACTGATGCAAAGAATTCATTTGGTTTCTTCACAATGGCCTTGTCTTCCTTGAGTGACCCATTAGCACAATTGTCCAGTGGCCCCACTGAGTGTTTGGCAGGCTTCCTACTTCTGATGTATTTAAATAATTTTTTGCTGTTAGTTCTTGTCTTTTGCTAGTTGCTTTTCAAATTCTTTTTTGGCCTGCCTAATTATACTTTTACACTTGACTTGCCAGAGTTTATGCTCCTTTCTATTTTCCTCAGTAGGATTTGACTTCCAATTGTTAAAGGATGCCTTTTTGTCTCTATGAGCATTGTTTGTTAGCAGGATAAAATTAAAAATGGATTCATTTTAATTATCAGATCACTCAGTGCTAATTAGCAACGGATTGCATATGAGTTACTCTAAATTAGGGATAATAGTGCTTTTTTACTGACTTAATGGATAATGCCAAATTGTATTTAGAAAGATTACAAAATCCAGCATAGGTTTATGCAGCAAGAGTTCAGTTAGTTGATGGGCAGCTTTAGCTATCTTAGGGCTTGTCTACATTACCCGCTGGATCGACGGGCAGCGATCGATCCAGCGGGGGTCGATTTATTGCGTCTAGTCTAGAAACGATAAATTGACTGCCAAGCGCTCTCCTGTCGACTCCGGTACTCCGCTGGATCGACAGGCAGCGATCGATCCAGCGGGGGTCGATTTATCGCGTCTAGTCTAGAAACGATAAATTGACTGCCAAGCGCTCTCCCGTCGACTCCGGTACTCCACCAGGGCGAGAGGCACAGGCGGAGTCGACGGGAGAACGTCAGTGAAGACACTGCGGTGAGTAGATCTAAGTACGTCGACTTCAGCTCCACTATTCACGTAGCTGAAGTTGCGTAACTTAGATCGATCCCTCCCCCAGTGTAGACCAGGCCATACTCTCTGTGTCACCTCCAGTTAGGTGTCCAGAGTCACCTGACATTTGATATACATAACATTGTGCAATATTTCTGTGATGTCACCACCACTTTCCTGACTAGCCAAGAGATGAAGGAAAGCATTGCTGAAAACTAGGAAATACAGTGTTAAGGTACACGCCCGCATCATCAGAACTTTGCCCTCTTTGAGCATTGCTCCATATCACACATGCTCATCTCTGCCTCTTCACTGTAAAGGAAAAGAGCTACCTGCACCTGCCTTGCACTCAAACACGTAGCCTTGTCTCCCGACCGAATACCGCACTTGTGAAATTAAATTACGGTACTGATTCACATAGGATACCATCTAAATCTATATTTTCCTTTACCCATCATTAAACCTATGGACTGCTCTCATATCCCACCCTACCGACAATTCCTGGGGGAAGGCACAGGAGGGGAGCGGGGGAGGTGTCTTGAGACAACCTACACAATTTTGCAATAAGATGATGCAGGCTACATTCTCAAGATACATATACCTCCCTTTCCTTTACTCGCACACATGGGCTGGGCCCAAAATCAGTCACAGCTCTGTGATGCTCCTAAAACGAATCCCCATCTCCTCAGCTCAAAAACACACTTCTACCAACCTGCCCCACCAACACCTCCACGAGTCAGACCATTCACTACAACTATAGCTCTCACACTGAATGCAGTTGCAATGCATGCAGTAACTCCCAGTGGCAATTGCCAGCTTGGGGATAGGGGCAGAGTTAAGGGTACATGGGCATATACTTTAACTTTGTATTTCCTGGTTTTCTGAAGTTTGAGTTTTGTTGAACTTGACGTTCTGGAGCTGTCCCCGGGAAACCTTAACTCTGCATTCACAAAGGTTTTTTTTTTTTTTAATTTAATTAACATAGGAGAAATTGAAAACAAAAAATGTTGTGTTAAGCTCACGGGTTTCAAAGTGAGGAAGTGGCTATGGAAAATGGCACTGTGGGTTTCCAAGCTTGTGACTCATTTAATTCCATATAAAAAGTCTGTGCAGTTGACAAGTACAAGATGGCTGTACTAGCCCCACAGATCACTCTGGGCATTGAAAATCAACGGTTCTTTCCATCTCGCACATAGCCTAATTAGAGAGGCAAGCTGGTCATGCAGGCACTCCATAGTTAAGGCTGCAATCAATGTTCCATTATAAGGCTTATTTTTACTCCCTATATGTGGGTGATCCCCATTCTGCTTTGAATGGGAATTGGCCATATGGACCTCTATTCTTGGCACAAATATGGCCTGGCCTGCATGCTCAGAATTTTCTAGAATGTACCATCCGTTGGGGCCACTCACGCCCCATCTCCTCCTCTTACGTAGGGTTTGGAGGGTGGCTCTAAACCCTCTTCAACTCCTTCTGGCTGCCAAAGCTGCAGTTTGGTTGGAGTATAGTTCAGTGTCAATGCTTCCCCCCCCCCCCCATCAGTTCTGTCCTTTGGTTGCCTCTTTGGGTCCTGTTTTTCATAGTTAGCTAGCTAGTAACTCAGACTGTAGCTTAGACTTTAAACACGGTGACCTGGTCCACACTACCCCCCCACTTCGGACTAAGGTACGCAAATTCAGCTACGTTAATAACGTAGCTGAATTCGAAGTACCTTAGTCCGAACTTACCGCAGGTCCAGACGCGGCAGGAAGGCTCCCCCGTCGATGCCGCGTACTCCTCTCGCCGAGCTGGAGTACCGGCGTCGACGGCGAGCACTTCCGGGATCGATCCGGGATTGATTTATCGCGTCTAAACCAGACGCGATAAATCGATCCCAGAACATCGATTGCCTGTCGTCGGACCCTCCGGTAAGTGTAGACGTACCCTGTGTGTTTAAAACACGCACACAGGTACACACAAAAAGGCGCATGCACACATGCATATGCACACACCAGGGTTTTTGGTGTCCATGCTGTTGTGCGCCTCCCTGGGCTATTTCCCTTTCCCTAACGTTGGGCCTTTCAGTCAATTTTAGTGACCCCTCAGGAGAGAGAAATGAATAGAGCCTTTGTAGTCACAAAATCCTTAAACTTTTAAAGAACACAACAAAGTGCTACTCTGTGAGTGTTTCATTTCTTCCTGGCAGAAGTGCATTGGGGGTCATATAGTAACTTCTGAGGGTACTATGTGAGCTAGTGATGCTAATGACTTGTTTGTAAATGAAAGTCACACATCCAAAGTTTGAAATCTTGTTGCTCTCTTTGTTTCTAGGTGGAGAATTACGTGGGCCACGTCCGTAGCCTCACAGCAGAGCGAGACGCTTTCACCACTGAGTTTGAAAAAGAAAATGAACAACTCAGAATTGAGTTTACACAACTGCAACTCCAGCAGGGTAATCCCTCTCTCCTTTCTCTGAAAGCGCTTCAGTATTTGTGCTGTAACAAATGTCAGGGACTACAGGTTATTCAGGGAAGCTGGCTGAGTGCTGCCTTGTAGGAAACAAGAGTGATTTCTTCTTGTACTTTAGAGAACAAAATGTTATAGATAAGTCTGTGTAATATACAGTTATCTAGGGAGACAGAATGTATGTATAAATTATTGTATACCATTAAAATTAAATTTTAAATCAGTTTAGAAATACTGGTCTTTATTTCGTTCTCTCCATTCAGTGAATGGGGTTGCTGCCTCTTTCAGTGTGGCTGCAATTTTAATTATATTTCCAAGAGGCACTCAGTTTGCAGAACAGAACAGAATCAGCTGCACCACTAGAAAGAGCAGGAGAACAGACATTCAGAGTTGTTATAAAGTAATGTATTTATTCAGTTAACCAAAAGGGGTCCAGTCCTGCTCCCACTGAAGCCAATGAGTTTTGTCATTGATTTCAGTCAGAATGGGATCAGGCTCAGAGTTTACTTTAAAATAACTTTGAAAGACCTGGTGTCTTTCTAATAGTGACTTATTCTCAGCCCTGATAGATGATGTTACAATTTCACAATGTCAGTTTATGTTAGCTTCTTAATTATGTTTAATAGAATTATTGTGTTCATATTTCAGTTTCTGTGAGTAATGGTCCTGTTTCCTAAACCCCTGCGATCACTTCCAACAGGGATAATTTTATGCTTTTTTAGTGACGGCTTTTCTTTGTAATTCTGCTGGATATTATGTGTAAATACTTTTCATAGCCCGCTGCAGTTTTCCTTAACTTTTCTTTTTGTGACTGGTGTGTGTTGGACCGGTGAGTAAAAGGGGAGTGATGCATACACAGTAGTGCCGTTTCTGTGCAGCAGAGAGTGGAGAGGTGTCAGGAGCCTGATTCTTTGCCCTGCTCTTGGCAATCTGAGGGTTTCAGGAAGTGCTTTTGGTGCAGTTGGCTTGGCAGGGCCGTAGCAACAAAGAACGTGGCCCCCTCCGAACGGTGGCCCCCTCCGAACATATGTCCGGGCGGGGCCCCTTACAATGCAGAAAGTGGAATGCGGTATTTATTTTGCCACTTTTAGGGGCCCCCTTCCTTGCGGGGCCCCCTCCGGTCGGAGGGTACAGAGGGCGCTCGCTACGCCTCTGTGGCTTGGATAGATAAAGACATTCTGACTACTAATGGAGTGAGATTTTTCAGGACAGGAGCAGACTTGTAGCTTTACGGTATGTGTATCAGATAAGGCACCTGGAGGATTTCTGCTGCCTGTCCAAACTGAAGGGAAAACCACATCTGGCCTAGTGGACTCAGGATGTAGCCAGACACCAGTCTGAGGGGATCTGATACTAGCAGACCACTTGCTAAACACATATCTGTTGTTTCATTTGTACTTGGAGATGCAAAGCCTCATCCCACTCCTATTGTTGTCATGTGGATGGGGAATCGTGAAGAGGAGATTCCAGTAGAAATCTCAAGAACCTTACCCAGACTGATGGTGATTGGATGAGACTGGAAGCATTTCTGGGACTTACTGGATTCAGCTATTGCCCTACAGTCAGGACCCAGACAAGAAGGAGAGAGCCCGCCCGAGGGATTTATGCTTGCACTCCCCCTGGTGGACTCAGATCTTTGTAAAGTTTGGTTCTGTCCTTGGAAGTCCAGAAGCTGGAAATGGAAGGCAGGGTGAATCTGAATCACACTAGGGAAGGGAAAATGAAATGGCCACCTCAGATGAGAACGGGGGAAGTACTTCCACTGATCACGGCAATGAGAATGTGGCTACCACAGGGGTACAAGAGGGACCACTAAACCAAACACCACATATCTCCTGGAAAGAGTTGCCCACAGAGATCTTTATTGGCTGGGGATTAACGTTGTGTCCCACATGTTAAGAGGTATGGCAGCTACTGAAGGTAAAACCACCTGTACTACAGACCAACTGGTGGAGTGATTTCACCATACCCTGAAATTAATGCTCCAGAAATTTGTGGAAACAGATGCAAAAGATGGGGATAGGTTATTGCCATATCTTTGCAATCTGTGAGATATCCCACACGTCCACAGGACTTTCTCCTTGTTTTTGTATGGGCAGTGACCACAAGGAGAGCAGGATCTCATAGTTAAGGATGGAAGGGTCCCCCCTCTTGCAGAACCATTGTAATGCAATGCATCCTTTGCATGATGGAACAACTGGTCACGCTGGGGCACTTGGCATTAGAGACTCTATCTAGAACCTGTCACAGTTATGGGGCAAACTGCTCCTCTGACCCCTCCAGGTGTCTCTGAATCCATCCCCTCTAGGTCTTGGGGTAATTCTACCCCATTTTCCCACTTGGTGGGTTGCGCAGTCCCCCATGTATCAACCATGATCGCCACAGTAGGTCTGGCTTAGGCTCAGACCCTGCAGTTCTGTTCCCACCGGGGCTATGATGTTACTTTAAAGCAGGCTGCTTGGTTACAGGATACCAAAGTAATATTTATATAGAAAAAATGTTCTCTCTGAAATGCTCATCTTAAAAAGAATACACTAGCCTTGGATCTGGTTACCAGCAGATTTCCCCCCAACACTGGAATCTCTAGAGAGGGACTGTTCTTGCCACCCCTTTTGGTCTACTTCAGTTCACCTTGGCGTCTTTTGTGTTGCGCAAAGCACCTACCACATTCCCGTGATTCACGGATTATGTGTTGGAGCAGCTGGGCTCACAACCTACCTAAAAAGTGCAGATTCAGGAATCAAGAATTAAATACCTAAGCTGCTAGGTTGGGAACGGATGCATTCAGCCCTTGAAGGACACAGTAGAGGCCCTGAAGAATTGGTTAGTTTCTACCACAAAGAAACAACTGTGGGCACTTCTGGTGGTTAGCAGGATATTACAGACTATTTGTAGCCCAATTTGCTGTCCTAGCCACTCCATTAACTGAACTGATGAAGCAGTTGTTTCCAAAACTGGTGAATGGGACTGATCAGCATGAAAGAGGCTTCAGTCATTTGAAAGACATTTTATGCTCCCAGCCTATAATATTACACTCCCCAATTCTGATCACTCATTTGTGTGACAACTAGGTTTGGGGGCTGTTCTCTCACAAGAGTTTGAAGGGGAGCATTCTGTCCTATACCTAAGTCACAAGCTTTTTGCCTGGAAAAACTCTGTGTTCCACCACCAAGGAATGTCTAGTAGTTTAACGGGCAGTGGGTACACTATATTACTACCTCATGGGTAGTCACTTTAGTCACTGGTCACGTGCCTTTATGGTGGTTCGAAGCTATGAAAGACATAAACAGTGGAATCACCTGCTGGTACCTGGCCCTACAGCCCTTTGTCCTTCTGGCCTGGTACTAACCTGGGAAACCAATGCAATTTTTTCCCCCCTGGGTAAAGTCTGGAGAGCAGGACCATGGGATTGCTCTGAGGAGAGTGTAAAAGGATGGTGGTGTGTAATGGTTATGGTATACTGGCTCTTTAAAGTCAGAGGGGGAAGTTCTAGACAGGGCAGGCAGACTATCCCATTCCAGGAGTTCTGGTGCAGACAAACCCAGGGAAGGATAGCGACAGATGCTGAGAGAGAGGGTGTGGTCTTGGGATGACGGTATCTGGGAAAACCCCAGGCTACTATTTTGTTTAGGACCTGGGGCCAGGAGCCTTGTAGTATGTGGGAGGGAGGGGGCAGAGCTCCCTTCTCTCAGCCAATCAGGATGAGTTCTGGGAAGGCGGGAGAAAGAGACTGGTAGGAAGAGGATCTGCTAACCTCTCCCAGGCTTGGGAGGGGGAGAGTGAGGGTTGGTCTATGCTACGGGGGGAGGGGGAGAGAGGAGGATTGATCTAAGTTATGCAACTTCAGCTACATGAATAACGTAGCTGAAGTCGACGTACTTAGATCTACTTACCGTGGTGTCTTCACTGCGGTGTGTCGATGGGAGATGCTCTCCTGTCGATTCCCCTTGCGCTTCTCGTTGAGGTGGAGTACCAGAGATCGGCGGTTGATTTATCGTCTCTATACTAGACACGATAAATCGACCCCCGCTGGATCAATCGCCGCCCATTGATCCGGCCGGTAGTGTAGACAAGCCCTAAGACTGAGCTGCTTTGACTTTGCTTCCAAGCTGTGGAGGAGCCCTGGGAAAATGGCACCTCCTCAGGGACTCCATTTTGTTGTGATGAGTTACCCCCCGCCCCTCCAAGTTTTGTTTGTTTGAGAGGCCTTTGCAGCCAGCTTGGGCAGAGCTGGGAGGAGGTAATTTACAGGCCATCGGGGAGAGGCTGGCGAAGGGTCACAGTGTGCAACAAGAAATGAGTTTTTATAAAACCAATAGGAAAGTTTCCATCATTTAAAAAATGCCAGTGAAAACAGTTGTTATTAAACAAGTAAATATTCCCCTGCAGGATTTGAAATCCAAACATTGCAGTACTAAGGACCTGATATACAGGAGGTCAGACTAGATCAGTGGTTTTCAACCTTTTTTCATTTGTGGACCCTTAAAAAATTTCGAATGGCGGTGCGGACCCCTTTGGAAATTCATCCTGTGGTCCACAGACCCCAACCATAAAAGTCTTAGACTGAAAACGGACTGACCAGAATTCAGCTATAAATGCTGCATGTACTCAGTACTGCATTCGATGCAGCGTGAGAAAGGGCGCTAAACTGTGGGTTCTATGGGAATGACAACACTTCCAAGGTTTTGACCCGTGGGTGGAGATATTCACAGACTTTCATTGATCAGAAAAACGGAATGCCTTTTCTGGGATCTGAAACTTTATTTTCATAGGTTTCAGAGTGGTAGCCATGTTAGTCTGTATCAGCAAAAAGAACGAGGAGTACTTGTGGCACCTTAGAGACTAACAAATATATTTGAGCATAAACTTTCGTGGGCTAAAACCCACTTCAAGAAACTCTCTGAAAAAGCACAGAACAAATCCGCACAGATACACCCCTAATACCCGGGCCAGGGGTATTCTATCTGCTACCCAAGATGCGTAAAC